GAAAGAGCTGGGAAAAAGGCAAATGTGATTGTGTCCTTGCCGCAACCTCAGTGGCCGTTAGAAGTATTTGGCTACTCTTGATGAAGTGTTTCCATCCTCCTTTAAGTGAACAGTCGCTAGAACGTGACGGTTTGCCTTTTGAGAGGGTCTGGCATTGCCGCCGCTGGATTTGTCCACGATTTCTCCTTCAATTAATCCCCGATACACAAAAATAGCAGTTCGCACTGCGGCGCAGTTGACCCTGCAGGACAACAGCGGCACCTAAAACAATGCGTACACGTCTTGTCGAAACGCACTGACGTCCAATAGTAAATAAGCTTGCAGGGTTCGTCGCCCGTGTGGATCCGTGCTAGCGCGGATACCAAGACCGCATCCATGATCTCGACTTTGTATGAGCCGCTTGGCATATGCTAATACATTACAAAACGTATGCAACAACTGTTCTTTCAGAGGTAATCATTTTAGTCAACTAGCAACTCGACACTCACTGGAATCAGCTAGCTCCTGCATACGTAGTCTCAAAGATACACTGCAAAAGATATGGGAAAATATCAGCGGAGAAATGATACCGCCATGATTCTAAAAGCCTATTACTTTACTACTGCTTTTCCTGAACTATATTCGCCTATGTGGCACTTTCCATTCCATCATCACCATCAAGATCGTCAGCATCGGCGCCTTTCTGATTCGATTCCGTCTTCGACACATCAGCTTTTCTTGCAGCCCCCAAAAGCGGCGAACCGCCACGATTATTATCATCATTGCCGACGGAATCGGCAGCAGCAGCAGTGGTAGCAGCGGCTGCAGGATCAAGAAAGCTGCTGGGACCACAACAGACTCAAATACTAGCCAACTCCACTCAGCTCGCAGCCTCTTATTTCTCTGTCTTGCAGCAAATTTTCATTGCTGCTAATAGGTAGACGGTTTGACTGGCATTGGGTCGTTCGTGATGCGTCGGCGACGCCAATGGCCCAAGTAGCGCCGTCGCAGCAGAATGCTCTGTCTGCCTTGTCGCCAACGTACAAAGTTGTCGCATAGATGACGGGCGCAACGAGGACGACGAAGAAGAGGACGCAGGCAGCTAGATACTCAGAGACTTAGATAGATTGGTAGGGAGACAGACGAACTCAACTAAAAATATCAAGTTTCGCCTATCCAGTCACAGCAGCCCGTCGCGGCAAATACAATCTGGTTAGGATGATCCCGCATCTCGGCTGCCGCCGCCGCCGCCGCTGCTATTGCTGTTGATGTTGCTCTACTCGTGAGCATTTTACGTTATGACCACGATGGACAGCAGTAGCAGACACCAGAGCGTCAACGAGAAAAGCGCTAGCGTCACCCGCATTCACTTGAACGTTCATTCGCGTGAAGGTAAGTTAGCGATGCTGGTGCCGCTGACTGCGGCTCTTCCTATCTTTTCCGTTAGCTTGATTGCCCTTCGTAGGTAGGGTCAGCCGCCTGATTGTGGGTGGCTGACCACTCAGCAGAGGGATTGGCACGATGGAACCTGTGCCCGCTCAACGTTCACCACCACACAAATCGAACAATTACAAGTGGAGAGATATTGCGCGGGTCAAAAATTGCCAGTTAAGCTACGGTTCGTACGGGATTTCAGTCGGCCATATTTATAACTAGACTCGCTATACGAAGGATGATTCGTAGAGTGTATTTTTCATGTGTAACAGACGCCCTACAGCTAGGGGGTGTCGAACCGCCGACTAACGTAAGCAAACAATCAGAGGATGCGAATGATCGATGAGAATTAGCTATTTCGAACTAATGTTCAGCTCGATTGAAAATGTGTTTGTTTATACACTGATAGAGTTGACGATGCCGACAATTCGAATGAATGCTCTAAGACCGATACTATTTTAGATAAAAAACGCTATCGATAAACATAGACAGTATTCGTGTATGGAAATAGTCACTGGTGTGAAATTGCTGACAAGCAAAAAACAAACGTCTGGATTGCAAAACTGTATTAGTTTTTGCTTGCTATGGTGGACTCTGCCTTCGGGGCGAACAGAGAATCAAAGAAAATGAACGAACGCCAATGTGGGCAGACGAGCAAAAGTGGTACCAGCATCTAACCGACAACCAATGCACAAATGCATAGTCTTCTAGAAATAAGGCTGTGCATGCAAGTAGATGTGCGGCGAAAAGCCCTACGCTTGTTTAAATGAAACCAACAAAAATTTCCATCAGATGTCTTATTTCACCGATGACTACATGTACTGTGTTGTGATATAAAGGTGCGACATCCTTTTAGGATTTGGCTTTTCGGGCCTGCATCGAGTCTCTGGTTGAACTGGACTATCGTTCTAGGTTCACGTACATATCTCGAACACTGACGGTGTTTACAAAATCGGATAACTACAACAGCTCGGTGTCTATGCGGACTTTCAACTTGATGCCTCCTGTATTTGTTTCTGGTGGAACTGTCTCTCTAACCAGAAGCCATTATTACTGCCAAACCATCTTGTTCGTAGCGGTCGGCTGGAATGACCTCTGTATGATATCGCCAAGTGCAGTCCACCCCAACGAAACAAAATGGAGAGAGAAAGGGCTAGTTTGGGTCTGACTTAGAAATTCAGCTCGCACAACTGCTACTAAGCGGAGGGACATCTGGCTGCGTGGAAGACCCATCCGGGGAACAGATAGGTGGGACGTGCTGTTTGCTTGGGAATATCAACTGTAGGCGACCGAGTAGCCTACAAAAGGTCCGATTTCTGCAGCCGCTTCAAATGAGACAGCTGAAAACAGGCACTCTACCACCCATCTCACCTGCACCATGAGGCTTTGAAAGAACCGATCAATGAAAATCAGGCAGGCTAACAGCCTAACATCTCCAACTCAACGACAATATCCAGTGAAACAACTCATTAAAAAAGCTAGATTAAGGATAAAGAACCTAGAACAAGCTATGCTTTTCTGGTTCTTCGTTCTAGCTCCTGGCGTTCGCAACAACGAACTAAACAGTTCCCTCCCTAAGGGGGAACCGACTGTAGGCACTTATCGCTAGAAACCAGAAAAGAGAAAGCGAATACTTGAGGGAAATCGAGTTCGGTTCTAGTTGATGCCTCACGTCAGCCAAGTCAAGCACTGACGCATCCAAAAGCGCCAAGCTGCAGACAGGCACCAAACAGATCAGGGATAGAACAGCGCATACACGCGAGCCCCGCAGACGCCTAAACAGTAGCCGCAAACAAAGATACTTGGAGAATAGAATACGGAGAGGAGCCAAGTGCTGCTGTTAGCTTCTGCCATCCGAGTCCGTAAGTGCCGTGTGGGTCAGATTTCGCCAGCAACTCGCTTTTCCCTCAGATTAAAGGCGTCAGACACCACCTACATACGGGCGACACATGAATGCCCAGATTCAACCTCATAACTCTACCACTATCCGAAGCAATTTCACTTCAGTTAATGCAAGAGCATAGGTCGAGCCAAATCAGTGTAGCAGTCTGCATGGACGCGAACCAATTGCTCATGTGGGCTTCGAACTATTGAATGAATAATCACTTCTTTCTACGTTAACGAAATGCGTTTCTTCGCCACTCTGCGCTCTTATATGTGCTATATTTGAGCCCTTTCAGTTTAAGCTAGGCTAATGACATTTATGTTCCTTTACGTTTCGATAGCCCACTACCGGATATTTTGCTTCAGGCTGTTAGAAACCTACGATTCTAGAAGTTCAGCCTTGTTTTTGTCGTGACGCCGGCGTGATGTGCGGCCGCGTTATAACGAGACTTTCGCGTCCAGTTTATGACGGCGTTTGTACGTTCGTCTGCTGCTGCTGCTGCTGTCCGTTCGACGTCCGACTGCCGGCCGAGGAGTCAGACCAATGCAAAAATCGAAAATATAGATTAATGGTAGAGAGTGACTCTCGAAACTACTTCCTAAGTCAGGAGTTAATGGCGAAATGCCACTGCTGTTTGCCGACGCTTGATGATCTGAATCGAATTGGAACCACTCTTTAGAATCGGTATTCGACACGGCACACTGTCCGCGAATAGAACCACTCATGATGAAGCGAGCCAGCGCTAAACTCCTCGTATCTCTATAACGCTAGCTGTGTTGTCCGTGGCCGTTCAGCCGTTCGAATATCAGCGGTGTGAAATCACACGTTTCACTAACGCACACCCGTTTTTAGCGTAAGGAAACAACAGTCCAAGGGAAGATCCACTCGGCGGAAGCAGACGTAAGGTTCGCTCTCTAGCAACTAATGGCTACCTACTCACAGGTAGAGCTACTAATTGCTTAAGACGGGTCGTACCTTGTCATGAATATAATTCGCGCGAGTCTGAAATTCTCACTACCATGGTCACCGCTATCAATGTTTGTTAGGATTGGCATCTTCTCGACTGCACATAGTTATTCTATAGACACTGAGGCAGCTATTGGACACGCGGTGCGGTGTCAATGACGGCCACAGGCACACGCAAGCAGAAGACAAACAGCAAAAGCCAACATGACAGTACCGTAAAATAACTCAAAATGAAAGGACCAGTGCCGCTGGCGTCGTTAAGGTATAAGGTCGCATATAGTAATAGTATAGCCCGCATCAGGTAAATGGTAGTAATAGGCAAAATAAAGAAACACAAAGTGACGATCAGCGCGAATGGCGTTCCATTGTTTTAGCAAAGTGGAAATTGGCCAAGAAAAAACAAAGCAGTTTTTAGGGGAAAAATCGCGTCCTGCCGTCCGTTCTCAGTCAGCTACTGAGTATGCTTTTTGATATACCTGTATATATGTATATATTGGGGCCTATATAGTACGAATCGGTTAAGCTTCGTCTTCAGCAGAACTGAATTCAATTCAATAGACTGAACTCAACGAGCGGCTTATTAGCGACTATCGGTATTTCTACTATGACTGTTATTACGATGGTAACTAGTTTTCCAAATGACAAATATATACTATGGTCGTTGCCGTTGATGCGCTAACGCTGACCACGATACTCGTCAATGAAACTTCAGCTGCAGTTTCGCAGTGTCACTTACCATCCGCTTCATAGTAACGCCTCGGTGACTGTGTTCGCCGGTTGCGTTGACCGTCGTCCACTGAGAATGTTTCCCGAGAAATGGCCGAGCAGTGAATAGCACAGTCCTGCCGTGTTGACTGCGGGCTTAGAAATTAGCCACGACAATTCCGAGTTGGCATTCTTTTTCGTCTCAATGCCGATCTTGGTTGATGTTAAAGGCTTCTATTGACTTGCGGGCCTGCCTATTTAGCCTGCTGGTTGATCAAAGCCATCTTGCGTTTGCGCTAATGCCCAAACACAACTCCCATGTTCACCTTTTTCCGACCCACTTCATCGTAACACTGAAGCTAATCAATCACTAGTACAAGCATTCACATCCACATACACGCCACCCAATGCTCAAAACGATAGTAGTCATTGCTCCGGAGCACCACAAAATCGCTACCTTTGACCAGTTTCAATTGTTTTTGCCTTTTTAATAACGTTGACACAATTGCAGTCATGTTTGTGTGTTACGATTCACACTTGTATCGTTATCTTTCGCCAGTTTCGTTCGCCTGGATATACCCTACATTCCAACGTTGTTCTAATGTGGCATGGTGGTATACTCCGGTGTTGGCTTTCTTCGTGCACTTCGGACGCTTATGTTAATCCGCATCTTCAGTCAGCTTTTTCGACCTCTCCCATCAAACGAGCGCCGATGCTAGGCTAGCGTTGCTGTTGTACGGTGCCGTGGCAGGTGTTTCAGCTCCGGGGGCAGACATCCTCGTCAATGTGCTCTGCACGACGCGATAGATCCGTTTCAGCCAGTGCAATCGAGCGATGAGACGATCAACTTTGCTGTGAGTCGCACGGAGTCCGCGGGGGTGACCCCGCCTCAACGCATTGTGTGACTCACATTTGGTCTCGCAGTTGCAGTCTTATTGTGCGACAAACGAAAACGCCAAAAGAAACATTCAGAGGCTGCACTCTAAGGCAAACAATGATAGAGCACAGTTTCTAGTCAGAAGTGAAGCAATACATCCTAGGGCTCGAATCCTCTTCGCTTAAGGACCGCGAATTACTCTTAATGACTGTTTGATGTTGTGGTACTATCCTGGTCGGTTCAGTGCACTGTAGCATGCGCGGATAAACGTTACGGCGTGCCTCATTATAACAACACTTGGATAATAAAACCAGCAGCCATTGTATTACGCTTTTCGTTGCGCTCCTTGCTTCTGGCGTTCAACAAAGTTGATTTGGATGCACATCATGTGCAGCTTCGACCTATCCTTCGTGCACATGTTAGGTACTACGAACTTGCGTCGATCAATAGTCTTTTTACCCTTTGGTCGGTCTTTTATGTGCGCTCACACCAGCCTTAAAACTCTGGCTATTCCGTTGGCGATTCGTGATTCGAAAACGGATTATTTCTCTGCGTTTAGAACATAGCTTACTCAGAAGATAAGTCATTGTTATTAATAGCGCACCTAACCTTTCATTGTCCGCACAAGCGCCCACTTCTATTGTGTTCTTAATGTTTAAGCGCTAGCACCACCTTAGCATTAACGCCCCCCGGCCCTTCGTTGTAGACAGGAGGCACATGTTGTAAAATAAGCGCACCAGTTTGGCTAAGGCTTTTCACACTGTACACCACCACTCAGACAGAGAGGAATAGAAATTTACAGACATGATGAGCAGATCAGACGAATAGATCACAGAAAGCAGCGCCAGTTCACATTGACGTAATCGATGGACGCACCGATTGGAGCACATCGGCCGCAAGCGAGCTCCGCCAAGAGGAGGCACAGCAAGTGCTGCAATGCGCAACAAAACACTATAGCTATAATGTATTTGCTACTCATATTTCTATGTGCTTTTCTTAGGCTGATTGCATCACTGCCATGTAAAATTTAAGCATGCACAACACCGAAGGATCGACGTAATGACACCATTAAATCAGATCAAACAGCCTCGCCTTCGACCCTCGACTTTTTTCTCGGACAGAACTTCTGATCAAGTCGATTGGCAACTACATGTCATCTTAGTGCGTTATGCACTGCACATTTACCGTCACCAGCTTCCTCATTTAGGTTTCTAAGCGTTTCCTGCTTTCAGCAGCTCGGGTCGGCGATCGATCACATCGCACGATGTGACGACGCTTGGATATATGCCGCCATGGCCCCATGCCCTGCCACTAATCAATACCACAATAGTAGTCGATTCGTATTGACGCTTCTCCAGTTTGTGCATGATACATTGCACCGAAGCGTGTACGTTCACCATTGAACACAGCTCCTTGTTTTGCTGGCAGTAACCACGAGCCATGCGCATCGTAAAATGCCTGCATGTGTCGCTGTCCATCCTGTTATTGGCTTCGTTTATAGGGGGAGCAGACTGCAGTTTACTACTAGTGCAGTGCGCTGTAGTACGGTCGATAGAACAGAATACACGCTACACATGGCGGATGTAGTTGGACGAGTAAACGTGCCCCTCGCGCGTTAAATCTGCGACACGATAGTCAGCAGCCATGTCACTATGATATTGAACACTATAATTACCAGCATCACATCGTATCACGCACCCCAGTATCAACTGCTGTTTTGCAGCGTCTCAAACCAGCAATCTGAAGTAATTTTCAATTAAGGCCATACCGAACGTAAGATCCGAGACGTTTACTTAGCATCAGCCACCAGCATTAGTTTCTAGTTTTCTATTTTAGTCGGTTTCGTTCCTTTGTTTGTATCTCCGCTGTCGCCCCGCGAGCGGACGATGATCACGCTGATATTGTTCATGATTCGACTACTATGTTCGACGAGTGATGTCCGATGTCTGAGGATGGCCTGGCACGTCTTTCTGGCTCGTCTGCATTCACTTTTTACCCTATAACTTAACTCTGCCTCATCATACGACTTCTGGCCATACGCACTACTCTCACATAGTTACACTTGCACTATAAGTTTGTTTGATTTAGGCCGTACGCAGCCTGTGGTGTCCGTCTGGTTGAGGATTCGAACCCGCGCAGCCTCTTCGCGAAGCCTCAGCTGTCGCGAGGTTAAGGCCAGCTCCGTCAGCGCGCAAATATCACAAGCAAAAAATCACGTTACCGCTAGCGATTCTTGCAATTTCCACCTCTTCCTCTACTGTTATAATAATTACTGTAATTATTACGGCTCGAACACACGGAACTACACACACTATCTTCTATACGTTAGCTATACGAAGCAGCGCTATTGTCTGTTGTGGGAAGCGCGAACACAGACAGTATCCAGGGCTCAGCGCTAGCTCTGGAGAACTAAACGGCGACAATGAATCGGGTGCGAACATCCGACGCAAATTTAGTCATAATGTCAGTAACACGGATTAGCAATAAAGCAGGATCCTCGCATCCGCAAAAGCATCAGATAAAATTGTTCTAGTACATCGGAAATGAAGGTGAACAACATTACGACAACGAGCTGTTTGAGTGGTGCAATAGTTGAGGCGGAAAGTCATCGAAGACTACCGCGTTTCTCGTAGAGAACTTATCCGTCACAAGCGAAATGCGAATGCGATCACTACAGAGCAGCGCTGAACCGAGCGGTTATTCGGCTGACTATAAAATATCGGCCGACGTCAGCGCCAGCGCTCCCCAGCCCACCAAGTCTTTCTCCAGACTAGTTCACAGAATTTGCAGTGGCCCTGCGGCCAGCGCCGAAATGTTCCGGGGGCCGCCGACTCGGCGGGGAGGAGCGCCCCACCGTCGCACCACAGTTCATCGGCCAAAAGTGCCACTGCGAACGCTGAACTGATTTGATACCGCTTGCGGAGAGCATACAGCGAAATGGCGGCGAACTCTCAAATAATGCCAGTGCTAGAGAAAGAGAGCAGGGTATATGGAAGTATTCTATCTACATACATAGATGAAGTCTGTTCGCTGGTTGAGTTGCAACGTGTTTTTAACGTGTTTGGTCTCGATCGCTCCATCGGGTAGACGGAGCCCGAGTGAGCATGCTTGGAGATAAACACATACACAAAGATACATGTACTCGGTTTGAAAATTTAATATGCCAAGGCGGAAAGTATTAGAAAGCAGGTGTCTCGTCTCTGATTGTATAATAGTAAAAAGTTTTGAAATTTTTAAATAGGTAAAAGTTTCGTTACCACATTTAGAGTAGGTTACGGCTAAGAAATTGCCATATATATATATATATATATATATATATATATATATATATATGTATATATATGTATATATATATATATATATATACATAGACACATAATGCGCTTGTAGATTAAAAAGTTATTGTGTTAAATCCTTTAGTTTGAAAAGAAAGTAAAATAGAGTTTGTGCTAACACGGAAGTTAAACAAATAATTATACAACACACAAGGGGACAAGCTTGGGTTTAACGCAAACTTACACCATCTAGTTATATGTATATAGTCAAAAATTGATTGTAATAAGGTCTTTTCTCTCGTTCTTTTCACGTATATTATGAGAACACGTCTTCGCAAAGCAGTCTAGGACAACGAATTGCTATTGCGAATAAGTAAGAAAAAATGCAACAATTGTTCAGTCAACAGTCATAATTAAAATCTGCAAAGGTAAAACCAACCCTCTATAAGCCTACGAACACCGTGAATTCAAGCAAACAGCAAAAATGATCTAATTGTTATTTTCTATTTAAATAGACCCAAATTAGTAATGGTACTCCATCAATCAACCAATTCAATTTTGTCACCTGTCGCTTCACCCCCTGCAAAGCAAGCACTCTCTCCATACATCTGGTACATTGTGTGGTAGAATTTGTGGGACGTTTTGTGGTACGGAGCGGCCTATCCGTGCGTTGCTGCTGCTGCTGCTGCTGCTACTGCCGCAAATGCTGCCAGTGTCTATTTCTCCGAATATCTGTTTGTCCATTCAATGGGTCTGTGGAGGGGGAACAACGGCCGAACATTCGTCGAGAGCTAAGCAACAGCCGCAACGGCAGCAGCGGCGGTGCCAACCGCGGCGCCGCCAGTAGCAGCGGCGGCGGCGGCAGCATAGCAGAATATTTACAGTAGTTAGTTGTTGTCGTCATCACTGCCATCACTACCACTAGCAGTCTCGCAGCTGCTGCTTGTCACGAAGCCGATGGAGCGGCTGGAGGAGAGGGAAATGAAAATAATGACGACGAAGAGAAGTTACAAGCGCGGCGTGCGAGAGAGACAAAGACACACATACACACATGCAGCTGCACACTCACACACACATACACATACACATCCAAGTACATCCGTACACACATATAATGCAACACACAGGTAAGGACAAACGCAAACTCACAGATCGACACACGCACGCATGCACGCACGCACGCTCGCTCGCTCGCTCGCTCGCTCGCTCGCAAACAACGACATATCGAGAGATGGGGGGAGGGGGAGATGCAGCGATGCACATACAACTGGGCGGGCTGGCGGGCGTACGGATGGACAGATTAGGGAGTGAAAAGGAGAGCTAACCACGATCGCTCCCTCGGGTACAGGCACATACCCAGCGCTAGGCCGCAAGCGACGGCGGTGGCTGAAAAACAAACGCCGAATATTGCCGAACGAATACACGACTGTTCGTACGGTCACACATAATACATACAAGAAACGATAGACGGAGGCAGCGGCGTCGGTTGCAGGCACAGGAAGCGAAAAGTCCATCGGTTTGTTCATCCGCGCGGTTGATGGGCTAATGCGACTGGCGATAGCGGCGATAACTACGCTGCTGCTGGTACTGACCGTATAGATGTGCTATATGGATTGATATATTCATGCACATAGGCGCATTATGCCCGTGGAGAAAGAAAGGAATGACTTGATGTTTCTGTGGCCGTCACTCGCTCCGTTGCTGAATTAGTTTTGTCTCACGGGAAATAAAGTAACTGTACAAACGGTACTGCACGGAAAGCAGCGTGGTACAACCTGGACCGGGCCACGTAAATTTTTTGCCCCTGGCGTTGTTGCTGCTTCTGACGAAGTATCGACGTACGAGCAATACAGTTTTTGATGGAATCATCGTTGTCAGTTATCACTGTCAATTATATGGTACAGGCATTATCTCCGTTCTAATAGCTGTCTTCACTGCTACCGTCACTATAAATATTTATAGTTCAGGAAACTGTGAAAAGGACATTAAGACAAAGGCAACAAGGGCAACAGTATGCTACATTGCGTTGCAGAGTTCCGTTATATGGGATTCGTTGTTGTATTGACGGAACGACGTGCACCAAAATGATCAGAACTATTCGGCTCAGTAACCGTCGGTGCAGTCCGCCAAACCCATGACAAGGTCCGCTATTAAATCTGCCCGAGCTCCAGACAATTTCGTCTCACACTTTTCGAGGCTGGCCTGATGATGATGATGATGATGATTCAGGCCTAACTCTTTCGATGTGTTGATCCATTTACGTTACGAGTACGAAGTCTTAGTGGAAGTTAGTGGCATTATCGAGATCCTAGCAGGGTATGATTGCTCGCTAGCTAATGTCATCGTAACCACCAATGGTCTGGTGAAGTAGAGAAACCGTTTTGTGCTAATCGGTTAAATACCGAAAAACTAATAACGAACATGAATCTGAAGCAGAAGTCAGCGGCTGTGCAGGTAAAGCTAACAACAATCAAGTCAACTTTCTTCGAAAACACAGATCAAACAAGCAGGAGGGCTGAGCCTTTTAAATTGTCCGATAGCACACTCCTGTTCGATCTTTGGATCAGTTACGTCAGTGACAACTTCACGGGCAAACGGTTACACTTGAGCCGAGTTCCCGTCAGTTTAGTCTACACAGAAGATCCTATAAGAAAGAAGAGCTCAGGGCGAAACCAATCGAAGTAAGCAATCCGCCCATACATACTGAAATCAATAAGTCAATGCTGCTTTTTTTATCACAAAGGGACGTCTGATGACATCAGCAGGTTAGGTCATTTGGTAGTTCTGTACACCTGAATCAGTAACTGGTCATCCGTGGAGGGTCTGTTTTCTTCAGTAATCTTCATTTCCTATAATACGATGCTAGACGCAATTGCAGGACGCTCAATTCATCATCGGAGCGAGCTAACTGCACACGTAAGCTATTATACACGTTAATGGCGATAGCCGATGACTGCAACGACAATTTCGATCGACTAGAACTTCTCCTTTTGGAACTTTTTCAATGCTAATAATAAGGACAGCCACTGGTAGCAAGCAATCCATTCGTCGGCCGTTTTCTCTTTTTTTTTTCTTTTTTTTTCATACAGATACGTTATTCGCGCTGGTAGTAGTGATAATGGCTTTGAGAGAGTTATCACAATGTTGGGTGTCTCACCTAGCTAATACTTAGGCGCGTTGCGCCTGGCGCCACTGCTCAGTTGGGCTTCTAATGGTCAATGATAATTGTATTCGTTGCTCCCTGTAGCAAAGAAGCAGCTTTTTCGTTCGTTGTCATTTTAGGAGTTCGCGCAATTACTGCTATGAAGCTGATACTAAGCGACAAACGCTTTAGGTCGGTGCTTTCATGCATACATACAAACATAACTGTAGACCTAACGTAGGTTGCCTTGTAAACTGAGCAGGTCGCTTTATGGGCCTGACCAACAGAAGAAGCACACGATTCAGTTGGGTTATTTTTACGGGTGATGCTTGGTGTTGTATAAATATATATATACAAAACTTAACCGTAACGAGCAACGTGTTGACTCAATCATAAGGGGTTGATGTAGGATTACAACACAAAGGTTATTTGCATTTGAATACGCAACTTTGGAAAGCAAAGTAGTTAAACACTTGGCATTGCCCTTCTGTTTAGTTCTATCCACTGCAGTAAGACTCGGCTGGTGATGGCCATGGCGGAGGACAGAAGCGTGGCTTTCAACATCGTACAGCATCTACCTGCTATATGAATATATTCGTAAAATCAAAACCACTTGGTAAAGCCCTAACTAATCACACTTATAATTATCCATATGGTAGAAGGAAATTTGTTACGGAACGAATTAAGCTACACGAGACTGAGGCTGACCCTGAGCAACGAATCTGTCTGTATCAGTGATCAATGTCTACAGAATAACAGAAATATGAATGTTTGTCTCACGAATCTCTTTCTGATTGACTTTTCCGATGACGATAGCTGGGGCGCCTTGGACGCTCAGAGTCACGTAAGTGCCGAATAAACTGTCACATACTGGTCAACGCATGCGTACATAAGTACGGACACTGGCTCAAATCTTTCTCTCATTTAGAATTGGTACGATGACAATTTTTCTAGGCATCTTTTACTTTCAGCTGATTTACCAGTATGAACAGGAAAGAAGGCTTTCGTATGCAGACAACTATCTGGCATAAGATTAGCTTTCTATGTATTAAATATGGAGATGATCTGGATTAAAGATGGCGATGATGGTGAATACATCTGAATTGGTCCCCACCCTGCTACTGGCAACCAAAACCACTCAAGGATTCGATAGTGAGTCGAGTACGCGAAACACTCATGCACGCAGTCTGTCTGGCAAATGACAATTTCCGTACTATGTATCATGTGATAACGTGAGTCTGCTTAATTTGACATTATAAAGATACTCAAATTTTGTCTTCTACGAATGAAAACGATAGCTACTCCGACCA